CTAGATGTCTAGATGGATGGAAAAGTCTAAAAAAAAATGAGATGTCAATCTTGTCTCTCAAGGACAAGGAGCAAATAGTGCTGCTAGAGACCTTCCAGATAATTTACTTTGTATTCTAGAATATTGATGATGTAAGTTACATTCCTGACAGATAAAAGCAGCACAGGCTAGTAGGAAAAATACCTGTGTATTGCATCTCTAAAACTAGGGCTGTCCCTAGCAATATTTCCAAACTTGAGGTTTTAGACTGATAGGCCATGAAATGTAATTGGTAACTGACAGCAGTGAACAAAGAATGGGTCATCACAGCCCAACCATAAACAACATTGTTTTCTGGTGCTTCCCTCCCCCAAGCCCCAATGCAGTGAGGAGTAAGAGTGGAGGAATTGGCTGCGTGCTAAACTGCACATCATCTGCAGTATGCACACGAGCTAGTTCCACTATAGCTACACCACTCAACAGGAATTCCTAGAATGAAGGCAGTGACAGAAGAATGTGTGACCAGGCAGAGAGGGCAGGCAGACAGGATTCTATCCTACACATCACTGTACAAAGCTCTCAAGCCTAAAGGTTTGGGAAAGGGAGTCACATTAGGTGAAAAGCTAAGATCCCATGCCAGCCTCTAAAACTTACCTCAGGGAATCTCATAGTCCCAAAGTCATAACTAGACAAACTAGATGACCTGTGGACTCCTTAACTCTAGAGGAAGGTGCTTACTGCCAAATCTGAAGACCTGAGTTTAATCCCTGGGAACCACCTAGTAGTAGAAAACTGACTCAGACATTGTCTTTGGACTTTGTCATATGTGCACTATGACACAGATGTGCCATACCCCCAAAACAAACAAACAAACAAAGCCACAGAGATGCCCACAGCCTCAGGTCTCCACCATGGATTCAGAACACAGGTACTCGCACTGGAGAGATGGCTCGGTGGTTAAGGACACTTGCAGCTCTTCCAGGACCCCATTTGTACAGTTTTAAGTGCCCACATTTTGCAATTTACATCCACCTGTAACTCTAGCTTTAGGGGATCCCCAGGTAACCTTGCATGCATGAATACATGACAAATCTTCACAAAAGAGATCTCAACATAAATCATCTGAGGCAAAAGCAGGAAGATGAACTGAAGTATTCAGTTTGTCACCAAAGCAAAGTTACATATTTTAAAAGGTTAACAAAACAAAACAAAACAAAAGCCAAATACAGCAGGTCAAAAATAATGCAAAGGACAGAGAAAAGGCATTGGCAGCTGTAAGAATTAAGAAAATGCTTTCAAAAGATAACAGCCTCCTATGCACATGACCTAGTTGTGCTATGACCCTTTAATACAGTACTTCATGTTGTGGAGAGCCCCACATAACTTTCTGTTGCTACTTCATAACTAACTTTGCTAGTGTTCGGAATTGTAATTAAGTATCTGATATGCAACACACCTGTGGGGGTCAAGACTCACAGGCTGAGAACCACTGATATGGGGCATTTTTTTCCTCTTAGTGATTAATGGGAGAGGGCCCAGCCCATTGAGGGTGATGCCATCCCTGGGCTGGTGGTCTTGAGTTCTTTTAAGAAACCAGGCTGAGCTAGCCACAAGGATCAAGTACCTCTCCATGGCCTCTGCATCAGCTCCTACCTCCAGGTTCCTGCCCTGCTTGAGTTCCTGTCCCAACTTCCATTTCTGGTCAGCTTAGACTAACTAAACCCTTTCCTCCCCAAGTTGCTTTGGTCATGGTGTTCCCTCACAGAAATAGTAACCCTGACCAAGACAGCATTTGACAAGGAGTTGTCATTAATGATTTGAATTCAGTCTGGCATTAAGGAGGCAAGCCAGGTGTGCTGGTTTGAAAGAAAATGGCTTCCATAGACCCATGCACCTATTTGAATGCTTGGTCCCTCGTGGATAGAACTGGTTGAGAAAGGATTAAGAGGGGTGGCCTTGTTGGAGGAAGTATGTTACTCAGGGTGGGCTTGGGGCTTCAGAAGCCAATGCCAAGCCCATCTCTCTGCCTCCAACTTCTGGATAAGATGTGAGTTTTCAGCTACTGTTTCAGTGCCTGCCTGCTTGCCACCAGCTTCTTGCCTTGTTGATCATAGACTAACCCTTTAAACTATAAGTAAACCCCAAATTAAATTTCTTTTACCGTGGTCGTGATGTCTCCTCACAGCAATAGAACAGTGACTAAGGCACTAGGTATTCTGGTTTCCTTTCTATCAGTGATAAAATACTTTGAATTAAAGTAACTATGGGTTAGCACTGAGGTAAGTCAAGGCAGAAGAAACACAGAGCAGGAATTTGAAAACAGCTTTGTTTGCTGTTACACACAGTTATCTCCGACTAGGGAGAACTCACAGCTGTGGCTAGCCCATGCTTAGCTTTCCTACATAGCCCAGTACCACTTGCCCCAGGAATGAGGCCACCCACAGTGAGCTGAACCCTACATCAATTGACAAGACAGCCCCGTCCCCCACCCTCATGCTTACAGGCCAGTGTGGTCTAATTCCCCACTTTGGATTCTTTCCTCAAATGGCTTTAGGCCATGCCAAGTTGACAGCTATCCAGAACAAGTTTTTTAAATCACAGGGCGTTGTGGGAGGTGTGGGGAGATAGATACTCATCCCACACAACCTGGCCTAGTACCACTACTGGACAAATGGACACTTGTTGCTCCCATGGAAGAGGAGGATATTGCACAATAGCTCTGTCATAGGGACACTTTCTGACATAAACAACTTGAGGTGAGTTGGCTTAGGCTTTCCTAGGTATCAGTCCTCCATGGTCGACAGGATGTGGTGGAGCCAAATAATCACATCGTGGCAACCAGGAAATATTGGAAGAGGCTGGGGAAGACATGGCTCATAGGCCATGCATGTCTCAGGGATACACATCCTCCAATCACACACTACCTGCTGATGCCTACACCACAGGATGCTGCCATCCTGTTTGGAGTCTACCAAGGAATTGATTCAGAGCCCTTGTCCCCATAGACAGAAAACGTACTTTTCTAGTCTGGGTGTTTCTCAATCCAATCAAGTTCTAAGACTATTAACAAGAGAAAGACAATCAGAATCTGGTGTGACAATGTACAGAATACAGTTAGCCCCTAAATAGAGGGATAGTGAGAATAAAAATGAGTGACTTGTGACTGGGTATGCGTGTCAGTACAGACAGTCCAGGAGTGTTTACTCACATTGGCTGAGCATACGTCTATTACAGATAGACAATCCAAGAGTGCTTGTTCATATTGGGACCCCAGAGAAGCAATGTACCAGGAAGATGGCTGAAAGAGCACCATGGACAGAAGGACCAGTGTGTAGAGATCAAATCAGATTCAACCAAGTAGGAAAATACAGGATGGCAGCTAGGGCATCAGGTACGGACATTTCCCCACAAGTAAAGAAAAACCAACACATTTGAAGATAGACTGGTAGAGAGGATAGCAAGTATGAGCTAGGGCCATTGACCTCTATCCACCACTCTTGTAATTTTATCATGTGAGTATTCAAACTCTGTGCTCAGCCCTGAATACAAACAAGTACGGAGTCTGCCCTATCAGATTGCTTTATGGGAGGTGCTTCTGGAGCTCTCATAGTGAACAGATATTACTTAGCAAGTAATGGCAGAGGCAGGAGGTGTCAATGGACTAATGAGCAGTTTCAGACTCAGCATGACCAAAGATCAGGCTGTGAGATACATTATTCTGTGTCCTGGAAGTAGTCTTGAAAGACAGCTTTGGGATCCAACAAGATGACTCACTCGGAGGGTAAAAGCACGTGCCATGTATGTAATGACAATGTTAAGTCCCCAAAACCCATGTCAGGCGGAGGTGAGAACAGACTCCACAAAGTTGTCCTCTGACCTCCATACATATACCAGAGGGAGAAGACCATGCAAAAAGAGATAGCTTAAAAAAAGGATGTACTTAGGAATTATGCTGGTTTAGTAAAGTGGTTTGTAGGTTCTCTAACAACCATGACTTCGCTAGCATGGAGTAGTTAGCTAGTTTCCAATACCAGGCATCATTTACCTCTTGTTGAGTGGGTTCAGTTAGAGTTGAGGGTTACTGCTAAGATATGCATGCCACATTGCTCCCTAAGGGTTATTGTGCCATTCTCATCATCGTTGTGGGTCATAGGCTTCCTTGTTGGGTAGGAATAAGGTTGCCAACTTCCTTTGGAAACTTGCATGGCTCCTTCTGGTACCATAAAATTTAGTCCCCAGGGAGGAGGCTTTCAGTTCAATTCCAGCTCAGGAGCCTCTAGGCCTGGGGTGCATGGTTTTCAATCAATGGTTGCACACATTCAAAATTGATCTGAAGTGCATGGTGTTTCCAGCAATAGAGACTTACTGTCTACCTCTAGGGGACAGCCTAAAAACCATTTCTATACTTAAAAAATCAAGATTGCCTGCCATAATATAAGCCCCTTTGTGCTATGTATCCCTCATCTGTGCAGAGGAAGAGTTTATGTACCCTGTAGAAGCCATGGAGAGATCTCTTCTTGTGGCTCCAGTCAGTCTGAGACACGGCCCATCATGTAGCACAGGCTGGCTCACTGTAGCTGAGGATGACTTTGAATTTGAGCTGTCTGCCTGCTGGGCTTATGGGCTGGGAAGATAATCACCCTGAGCCAAATAGCATCAGTAAACCCGCTTTAAAAAAACAGTAAAAATAAAGCAACCCAACAACAGCAACACTCATTCAAGCTCTAAAAGAATGTCCGTTATACTGAAGCATAACAATTTTACAAAATGAATCAAATCATATGGTTCAAAGGAATGCTGACCAGGTGTGCCATTTTAGAAAAAATTTCCCAAAGAAATATCACAAAAATACTAACTGCCAACTTCATTCTAACTAATAGTCTTGTTTGAATTCTAAAAATATGAACAAATCAGAATCAAAACTTGGTTCTCTTTAAATCTTTTATTTTTTACTAGGAAAACCTAGTTCTTCATGCCTAAAATATGACAAATTCTATGTTTTAAAGAAAGATGGCTTAAAAGTTTCTTGCTAATCTTTATTCATGAAAATAAGCAACTTAGCCATTAGCAGTACGTACATTCTCTATGATGATATACAGTCGTTTAAATAAAGACTTTGGCATTTAAAACGGTACAGTTTTTGATTGCTAACTAAGGTAAAGTCTCATCTTAAGCTTTCCATTAACCTAATACTCTGGAGTTGCTGCATGGATCTGGAGGTGAGAAGCGACTTATCACAATCGCCTTTCAAGCTTTTAAAGGCTTGGGTTGAACACAGCTGCATGACTATTTTTACAAGCAAACCATGAATAGTTAATTGGAATAGCTATTAAGAGCAGTTTTTAGTGGAGACTGAAAAACCTGGGGGAGAAAGAGAGGTAGTAGCTACTCCTTAAGAATAATTTTAATAGTTTGAATCTTTTACGGAATCTTACTAGGAGATAACATTTGACAGAGATGAAAACCGTTCTCGGTAAGATAAACCAACATGCTTTCTAGCTACAGATATAGATCTTCAGAGTTTGTGCAGTAAGCCCTAACCCATGTGTGTTCATTATGTTGGTGAAGTTGAATACATTTGTGCATTCATGACACCTCCACTACAAATGCCTCCTAAATCCTAACCTTAAAGTACTTTGACTTATTTCAGTGAATTCTAAGTTTGTACTGTCTGTAATTCCTACCCATCTACTTATAGTCATCATGTATATGCATCTACAACATTGTAAATTGTTTTTAAAAGGTGGTTGCCCTTTACTTGAAGTTGAATCCCTGTTATCAGTAATACTTAGACATACTTCTTTCAAGTAGTAAAATCTAAGGCACAAATCAGCATTTAAAATCAAAGTACAGCTGTATCTATGAAACTTGGAGAGACCAAATAAAATGTACTCATAGGCTAATGCCACTGTGAACATAAAAAGTGATTAATTCACTATTGGGCAAATGCCAAAATGCTGCATTTTGTTGTTCCACAAACTTTAAAAGTTCAGAGTTAAAAAACTAAGACAAAAATAAAACCTTTGTTTACACTGCTGAAGGTTATACAAAGCAGGTAGGAAATCTTGTTCATTAGAACAAAGAAACAAATTGTCAAAGAATGTTACAGTCTCCAGAAAGCAGAAGAAAAACCCTCGGTCCTGCTGTGTGTTTGTACACTGTGTGGTGTATGCACATTTACCGTGTGTGTGTGTGTGTGTGTGTGTGTGTGTGTGTGCACTCAGCAATTTTTTTAGCCTCATCCTTCTCAACCTTTGCTGCTCTATCTAAAACAATCTATTAAAGTGAGATCAACAAGGTATGGCCTGCATTTGGTGACACGCAGTCAGCCTTCCTGCTAATGAAGGTGAAGCAGCTGTGGCACATATGCTACTGCGCTGAGACCCTGGAATCAGACAGCTCACTGTGGCTGTGGGGAATTCTTATTTATGTCCTAAAGGTATTCTAAGAAGACCAGTAATGAAAAAGTCATGACGATAAAATATCACACTTTGTTCCATAAAATAACAGCCTATAGGTTGACAGTAGCTTTAACAAATGTGTGATTAGTTTCTTTCTTGTTTATAATTGGTTTCTCTAAAGCATTTCTTCCTCACTCTAAGCCTTCTATTAATATAAGAAATACACAATGACAGCACACATACTAATTGTATCACTTCAAACACTGCTCTGGGGTCTGCTTCTTGGCTCTTCTAGCTGGGAATATTGATCTAGCAAATTGTTTTTATTATACAAATGATCTGGATACAAACCAGTCACAAGACAGTAGGCTGGTAAAGCCACCTTTTCCCTCAGAATCCTTGTCTATTTTACCTGACTGCATAAATGCACAGAACAGGAGCTTCTAGAGTGAAGCCCTGTTACTCAGTATGAAATTGTTTGGGGTGGATAACCAAACTCTTAGAGGGACGTACCTCTGGTGAATCAAGAATCACACCAGTGCAAGCTGCTCGCCCTCCTCATCAAATTGCAATCAGCTCATCCATGAAAACAAATTTCAAGATTTTCTTCATAAGGAGTGTAACAATCACACAATCAAGTGATGACTCACGTTAACAGATATTCTAAAGCAACAGAAGCCTGAGGCGCTTACATTCATGCTTACAATAACTGAAAACAATAGAGTGGGTGTCTTGGTTCAACATGGATTATCACTATCACAGGTGAATTTCTACAGAGAAAATATTCATGCATAACACCTTTCTCTATTAAATACACATATAGCTTCTATAAATATGATACCATATAAAACACTGATTTTACATGAAAGTGTGTTTGGTAACAATTTTGCACTGAATAACAATAAATTATACTCATTGTTGTATAAATTGTTGAAAAAAGTATTACAGATGTTTACAAAGAATTACAGTAATACATAAAAATACATTGTTAAAATAGGATGAACAATGTATACCATAAAAAAAAGGTATTACAACCAAGCAGTACGAACGTTAGGGGGTTTCGGTCTTAGCAAAAAGCCACTGGATGTGTCCAACACTGATCGATCCGTCTTACAACTGAGACCACTGGTGGCACTGGATGTCCTGGAAGCCCCTCCTGAACATACACAAAACAAAACACTCTCAATGATCTGAATCATGTACACAAGCCATCATTTCAGAAACTTCCTGTCTAACTTTAAGTCCAGATTGGTTGCCCTTTTCACCCCGATGTGTCTACTACTCTAATGAAATGATTCTCAATAAACTATACTTTAGAACTCCTCGGGGAGCTTAAAAGCTACTAAAGTGAAAACAAAACACTCTGCATAATTGTTTACATGTTTACTTCACAAAAACTCTTCTATGTTTAAGGTACAATACTAAATGTCAGACACTAGACCAAGACACTATAATAAACCATGTTTTAAACTGAGTGAGATGACCAGTCAGTCAAAGTCACACATGCACCGGGAAGTTTCAGCACTACCAGGTCCAACTTTTTTTAGTAACAGGTTGTATATATTTAAGAAAAATATAGTTTAGAATGTGTACATGATACAATAGCATCAGCTTCTATAAAGGAAGTATGTATCTGCCTTTCTACCTGTTATAAACTCTGGCACTAAATTCCTACATCTCTAGGGTACATAGATGGCTAAGTCTATAACTCATCACATCTCAAGCGCTAAAAAGAATTACATCTGTAGTTTGTTTTAGTTACCTAGTGAGGGTAAAAAAAAAAAAAAAAAAGACACATGTAAAGGGTTACAAGGTATTAGCAATTGTCTATAACTGGCTAGAGAGAATGATTCAGTGACATTCAAGTAGCCTATTTATTAATTTATTCTTTAAAAACACTGAATTAAAAGACTCTTCCAGTGTCTGAGAAAACTTATTTTTACTCATTTTATCTTTTTGTCTTCTCTTTATGTTACCATTATATTCTGTATATGAAGCCTAAGTGAAATATAAAAACATGCCAGTGAAAAATAAAATGCATTCCAAAGTTAGCATTTAAAATCCCTATCATAAAAACATAAGTTACACTTTTTACTTTTAAAAAAAGATAAAAACACAAATAGAAAATAGCTTTTTGTATTCTTACTCAGTGGGCTGTAATGGCCAAGAGTAGATCTCACTCGTCTGACAGATGGTGAAGGGTTGAGATAACCCATATTTCGATGATAGTCCATTAGCTGTTCAGAGCGTTTCATGCCAACTGTTGGCTTCACAGCTTCAAGCCGTTTCAATAAAGCCTTCATAAAAAAACAATATAAAAGTCAATACTACATAAATACCAGTAATTTCTACAAAGTCAGATATTCTATAACTCGAAATTCACTAAGAAAAAAAACAGCGTTAAGTCATTCCAAACATGCCAGAAATTTTCTGGTTGAAAAATGTACACCCACCCTAAATATTTGTCCATATACCCACACAGATAAGTGTAATCTCCCCTCATCAAGGAAACTTCTCTTTGTAATAGAAAAGACATTACAGAAAACCACAACCAATCAAAATGCTGAATTGTGAAGTCCAGTCCTAATGGATACCTCTACAAAACAAAGCTCAGCGAACATTGCCGAAGACAGAGTGTAAGATATTGTGTGGTCTCCCAGCAATGTCAAGCGACACAACACACAACACACACACACACACACACACACACACACACACACACACACACACACACACACAGAGTCTCACTAACATGAGCTGAACAAGAACAATGAGAAATATACCAAAGTGGACAGGGAAAAGCTCTGGGGGCCTTACCCTTCCATAAAAACTTCAGGCAGCTAAGGAATGCTGAGAGTGGGAGAATTGTGTTCTTCAGGGAAGACACACCAACTAGTTATCCAATACCAAATGGTCAGCCGGAAACCATACATATGAGTAACATTATGCAGGCGGAATAGTTTGTATTTAGAAATATATGTACACACACACACACACACACACACACACACACACACACATATCTCGGCAATGAAACAAGAGGCCATTAATTTGAAAGAGAGTGAGGAGGGCTCACTCTCTTTATATGGGTAGGTTTGAAGGGCAGAAAGGGAAGAGAAAATCACTGTGATTATAATCTCTCCTAACTGTTAATCTCAGGTACTATCCAAAGATAGCTGGAATACACCCATGACAGATATGCCAGCTTAGATTGCAGCCATGCCTCCCTCACACAGGACACCAAGGAAAGGCTGCGTGAACACACATCTCAAGCCCTACTTTCTCAGTCCTGCCAGCCCAATTGTGTTCTGTACTTTTCCTTTACATGCTTAAGACACTGAGTAAAGTCTACTATGGAAAAAAAGTGTTTTAGCTGTTATGAAGCTAGAAAGGCAGTTCCTAAAGAAGTCTTTCAGAGGACATAATTCAACAGGCAAAGCAACATGGTTTCCAATAAGAAGGCATTCTCTTCAATATGATCAGTCTAATATAAATATTCCTAATTTTATTTTTTAAAAATTTTCTTTATTTTTTTATGTATATGTGTGGGCCTGTATATGTGAATGCCATGTATTTACTGGTGCCCACAGAGGCCAGAAGATGGTACTTGATCACCTGGAATTAAGTTACAGGCAGTTGTGAGCTACCATGTAGCTGCTGGGAAGGGAACCTGGGTCCTCTGCAAGTGCAGGAAGTGCTTTTAACAAACCATCCCTCCAGCCCCACTCCTTTAACTCAAAATTCAGAAGCTTTTGCTTTTCAGAGGACTTTGAGAAAGGAACATAGAGGAAGACCAAATGCCACAGGATTGATTCATGGTTCTGTTTTACTATTTCTGGTGCAAACTGATTTTTTTGTCTGAAGAGTATGCACTAAGACTCACATTTAAAAACCCAGCCTCATGAGCACAAAGGCCGAGTTTTCTTCATATAATCATTTACTTTCTTTTACAGTGCTGAGCATTAATTTAAGTACACCACTCATTCTGTAGCACACCAGCTTCACTATCGTGAACCATCAGTAACACCATCTCCAAAACACTTCCTCAAGCAGTTTTCCCTCTTGCCCTTAGATTCTGAGGTTCTATTACCAGCATTACCAGCATTTCCGAGCAATTCTGAAGAAGATATAAATGGCAGTAAACTAAGCCAAAGTACTCAGGGGAAGCACTGTTTAGAAGTATTGCAGAACAAAGTATTGCAGAAACTCAAGTGTGTGACAAACAGATGAGAGGCAAAAACCCATGAAGTGGATAGAGCTACAAGTTCATTGCTGCCAGGCAGTGAGACAGGTCCTCGGTTTTTCTCCTTTAGAGCTAGCAAAGCAGCCTCTCACGAGTGAAGTCTTGCCAGCTAGAATTAGTTCTTATTGAGCTCAGAGTGAGGCTGACTCTGTTCCATCAGATTATAGTTTCTATCTTCTTTCTAAACTTACATACCATCTTTCTTTGTAAAAGAGCTGTACAATATAGCTGCCACATTTTCCTAAAATGATAATCTTGCATGACAAAATTCCTAGGTAATATATTTTCAATGCATTTTATTGGGCAAAAATATATTTGTTGATTTTTCTGATAACTACTCATTAAACTGTAAATGACAAAAATCTTGATATTTGTGTATATGTACCATTTTCTTTCCTTTTTGTAGTATGGGGACAGTGCTGGTCAGGGAATATGGCTCAGCGTGGGTCCTCTGCAGCAGTGCCGAGGGTTCTGACCTCTAAGTGTAGCATGCACAAAGAACCTGAAGCCAGGGTGGCTCAGGACTCATTAGACCATGTACCAAAAAATAGTAATGTTCATAAAATCCCTGATTTCATGAGTTTCATTATCTAGTTTCCTCTTTAATCTTAAGAAAACTCCAGTGCTTATCTGTCAGAGGTAAAACAGCATAAAAATAATGAATATTAAAATTTAAGACATTTTCCAATAAGGTTTAAAAAAAAGCCCCACAAAACCACAACTCATTCTGTACTCTCAAGGATAGGCCACTTATGCAGAAACTTAGGGAAATAAGAGAGAAAAGATTCAATGCAACTTTAAAAGACATGGAACTTTAAAAACTGATAGTTGTAATACTGTAACAACTGTAACAGAGTGACAAAAGATGTAAGCATCTAAGACGGGAAAGAGTGGAGGAGGGGAAGTAGTAGGAGATGGTTACCGGGTATTAAAATAAACTTAAGTAGGAGGGTAAGTTTTAGTGTTCTGTATGAAGTAGGAAGACTATCATTTATAAAAGTTGAGTATTTTAAAAAGGACTAGAAGACTAGAGTTTGGAGGCCCAGAATACATTAAAGAGATGAAGTCCGACTTACCTAATTTAATCATTACATACTCTATACATGCTAACAATTACCTGCTAATATGAGACTGGGACTTATACTGTAGGCATTGAGTGTTTCTTAGCCAAATAATGTTGCAGGCATGTAAGGGTCAGAATAAAAGTGAGATAACATATAATACCCATAACACTACTTATGCACTGCTTGAAATCTACTGCATTAAAGATTCTGATAGCATTAACACTGCTTTGTATAGTTTTTTTAGTTGTCTGACATATAACTGTATCATCTTCAGACTAGGTTATGACTTATATGATGATAATCAGCAGTATTTTATATCTTTCTACTGCTTTACAGAAAACGAAAGACATTACTACTATTTAATAAATCAAAATGGTAAGAATGGTTCTTTAAATTCCAAATTATGATTTACAAAACCATAGAACTGTCATTTAAATCAGGCTCCAAGAATGACTTTCAAAATAATTTCTCCAGAATTTTTTTGGAGAAAGTTGTATTTTTAAAATCATGTCTATTAAGGCAAAGAATGCTGTTTTGTTATACATACACATCATAAAATGAACATAGTTACACTAGTAAACACATCATCTCAGTTACCACTTGTGAGTGTTGTGTGTAAAAATTATCGTCTACTCCTGTCTACCAGGTTTCAGGTGTGAAAGTCTGGAGACCTAATATACAGTGGTGACGACAGGTGGCACTTCTGCTTTATGACTGTCTGTGCATTTCCTTTATACACTTTTCAGGAAGCACTCTTGGAAAAAATTAACCCTCCCCGTCTTTTGATACAACAATGAATGAATGTGAACAATTCCTGCAGATGTAGTGGAGACTAATTTATTGTTTTGAAAGTGGTGAAGCAGCCAGGCAGTGGTGGTGCACGCCTTTAGTCCCAGCACTTGGGAGGCAGAGGCAGGCGGATCTCTGTGAGTTCAGGGCCAGCCTGGTCTACAGAGAGAATTCCAGGACAGGCTCCAAAGCTACAGAGAACCAAAAACAAAGCAAACAAAAACAAAACAAAAAAACAAAAAAGGAAAAAAAGGGGTGGGGGAAGAAAAGTGGTGAGGTAAAGACTCTGAAAGGTCATCAAAAAGTGGCAAGTGTCCAAAAGCCAAGGAGAAGAGACAAGGCCTCTCACATTTTCCTCACCTGGAGTCATATGAGTTACAGTCAGCTTTCTGTCTGCCACAGAAGTATAAGCACACAAATAGGAAAATAACAGTAAGCGAATTATAAGTTATTTCAAGATTTTAGTGTAAAGTTATGGTCAACCAGCAGATTCATAGTTTTCACGGGATGTTTTTAAGAATTGGAACTTCTAAGTTTATGATACATTACTGTAGCTTTATAAATAATATATTCATAGGGGAATGCAGAAGTAGAAAAATTTGTCTTTTTATGTACTTATCTGTACTTCTCTGGATAAAACACCTACACGCCTACACACACACACACACACACACACACTTAAAAAGCAAAATGAAAAAAGAATAAATTAAGTCATTTAAGTTGTAGACTCCATTCATGACCATTAGGGGAAAACTTATTTCATCCCAAACACTGTTTCTTTCAATACCCCTGCCTTTTTTACCTTAATAAAAAAACACAATCTGACATACAATTAGAAAAATGATATAATTTCACTAGACATTAATGCTAGACAAGATATAAGTATCTTTACTGAGCTAACTCTTCTGCTAATACTATTTTTGCTTCTCTGACGAAAAATGGATACACATTATGTTCATCCATTCACCCAACCATCCATCCACCCATCTGTCCATCCATCATTTAACAAGAATATTTCAAAATTCCTTTCTTATAAACTTGGTCATTGTTTTGGGAATAGTCTTCATGTAACCAAGTCAACATGAAGCAAGCACACCCTGCTAAACAAAACTATACTTTATTACTCACATGTGTTCTCTTTCTATTTCCCTCCCCCTTTCCTTATTATGGAAGGAACTGAACAAGCAACAACACTTCAGTACCTTCTATACTCTCTTGATATTTATCTGGATACAATAGTTAATTACAGGATGTTTGGATCTGCCACTGACCCTGAAATTTAGTCAGGTGTATTAACAATTTGCTTTTAATCTAGGACTCCATGGTATAATCTTCACACCTTCTCTCAACAGTAAGTACCCATGGTCTTTATTAGAGACCACTTCAGCTTCTCAAGAGTCACCAAGTTAATATGTAATAGTGGAACATAAATGTTTCAATAATCATGCCTATTAACCACCAGAATTTTCTCTGGTATCAGTGGCATGACAAATAAGGAGATAGAAATAATATATTCTATAAGTCAGTGGATCTTGTTTGTATATATACCAGCCAAAGAAATAACTATTGATGTATGTGTGTGTGGGAGGGTGTTTGTGGGTATGTGTAGGCTTATGTTATAGCCACCCAGCAAACAGACTAAAATGGATATCAGCTCATATTCAAGAAAAATGAAAGTTAATATGGCTCTATTACATAAGAGTTTGGGAACAGGTGAGATGACACTTGCCATAAAGCCTGTGACCTGAATTTGACCCCAGGGACATACATGGAAGAAAGAACTTACTCAAGTTATCCTCTGCCCTAACATCTGTGTATGTATGTGTGTGTGTGTGTGTGCGTGCGTGCGTGCATGTGTGCGTGTGCATGTACACAGAACAAACAGGGTTTGGTTATAAAATAAACATAAAAACAGATAACAGAAGGGAAAGGCTGCATTTCAACAGCAAGGTACTATTTTAGGAGTACTGAACTGGGGACAGCTCAGTCTGCAGCAATGCACTTCCTAGCTGAACAAAGGGTTAGTTCAATCCTCAGTACTGCAGAACAAAAATTAGTCAATATAAAACATGCTCTGATTAAAATGTAAATGTTCCATTATTGGGAATAAATGCAAAAGAAGTATAAAAAGTTATGAGAAGGTAAGAAATTACTTTTAGGAATGAAAAGTTCAACCAGGCAGATTCAGTTTCTTCACATAATACAATAAATTATACATGTTTTTCTTTTTAGCTTTAAGTTCCTTGTTTTCACTCTCTATCAACTAGTCCTCCATTTGAGAGCAGCACTGTTCAAAGCTATTAGCCAGATGCGGTATACATCCTTGATTGCAGCTAACCCTGAGATGTGTGTGCTTTCTGCATAAAGCACACACATTCTACACTTATCAAAGCAAAGGTAAGTGTGCCCCATTCAGCAGTGCTGGTCACTGATGAAAATGGCAGTATCTGCTGGACTGCACTGTGGCTTTGGCAGGTTACTGGCAGCATCTGTGAGCCCTGTTTGACCTCCTGAGAACAAATGAATGAGCAAACAAGGTTAAATAAAACATCATACAATCAGTTAAACAAAACATTATTTAAAAGAATTCACAACTGTTCTGATATGTAGTAAGTTATTATCAACAAGAAAAACTTGCTTACATATGTAAATTATAATGTATATGAAGCAAATAGGATAAAATATTGGCAGTTCCCACTGCTATTAAAGTTTCATTCCCGGAAGAATAATGAAAGCTGTACGTAGAAGCTGCTGACAGTCTTCATCTATGCATATTCATATGAATAAGATGCATATTCAGACACGTTATAACTTTAAGTCCAGGATCTTTAAAAAGCGAAACACAGCAGAAGCACAAACCTGTACTGATTGCCTGCACTGGGAAGGAGGCAGCCAGACGATGGAGAGTTCAAGGCCAGCTTGGGTTATACAGTGAGATCCTACCTCAAAATCAAAACAAAACAAGAAAACTAAACACAGAATTACTAGGACATGACCCAGCAATTCTGTAAACACTTAAAAAGAAATGAGAACAGAGACTTGAATAGACAATTTTACGTTAGTGTTCACTAACGTAAATTAGTGAACACTAGAATTACCTACAATAGCCAAGATAAAAACTAGAACATCCATCAGCAAATGGAATAATCAGAATGTAAATTATACATTTACAACGAAATATTATTCAGTTTTAAAAGCTGCGCTTGCAGAAGACATGAGTTTTATCCCCAACACTCGCATACCACCTTCACAATCATCTGTAACTTTTGGTACAGGCTACAATATGGATAAATTTTGAAAACATACTAAGTGAAATAAGCTAGCTACAAAAAGAGGAATACTGCCCAATTCATAAAGACAAACAATGGTTCAAGGCCTAGAGAGAAATGGGAATAGAAAATGTTAATAGTACAAACAAGATAGTAAAACTCAGTGAATTGTATCCTAAATGTAGATATGGTATACACACTATATTTAAATTAAAGCTGCTTTTATAAAATAACCCAAAACAGATAACCTAAACCTAAATCTGGTCTCTGTTACTTGCTAACTGTTTGACATGAAGCAGTTCCTGTGCCCTCCCTACTGTGTATTTCATTTTCTCTCATTGCATACCATCTCATATAATAGAGGACTAAATGACCTAACATTTCCAAAAAGAGGCATATAACTGTCAATTAAAACAGGCTTCAGAGAGAAATGGAACACATTAAGACAAAAATAAGCACTAACATTTATGAAATTAGTAATTCTACATTTTCACAAAACATGAATCAAATACTGTTTACATGATATACAGAAAGCTCTGTGCATCATCACACACAAAACTCATTTCAATGACTGTACTGGTACCCACCCTTTGCTATGTGTGGGATAACTCTCTCCCAGTGTTTAAGACTATCTTGGGGATGGGGATGGTAATGAACACATAGAATCTGTTGCCAGGTCAGGTTTATATAGGTTTAAACAGAAGTACACTGGAGCTAAAGCATGAGGGTCAACTTTGGAACTGCCATAACTTTAACAGCTTTTGCATTCATTTTAATTTAAATTTACAAACTATGGAGGTCTAATTTTAGATGATAATTTCTATTTATTTAAGAGACTACCTAGGTTTAAGGTTTTGGCTCAGGTATTCCCTTTGAGTAATTATTTAATACTGTTAGGTTTTAGTTTATACATGATTACAATACTTTTTAAAAATGCCTACTTCAAAGACTTGTCAAGATTCAATAAGCTTATATGTGGAGGATATTTAAACCAAGGTCTAGTGTTCAGTAAGTTCAATATATAGCTGAATTTAGTGATAAAAATAATATGCTATAATAGTTTAAAGTATCAGGTCTTATGTATGCATGCATATATTCTTTAAAATATCAAAGTAACCATATAACTCATAACTATGAATGTTGTACTCATTTCAAGCTGAGTACCAAATTTGTTCACTTATTTTTTAAAAACCATATAGAATTTCCAGGATATGATGGGGAAAGCAGGGTTAGCTAGTGTGACTAGACACATCACAGAAGAATATATGCATCTGACTCCTGGGTACCTTTCCTGAAACTAAACAGTGATTAAACTAATCTAATCAGGAAACTATGAAACTTTCAGTATTTTCTTTTTTTCTTTTTTCTTTTTTTTTCCTTTCTTTCTTCTTTCTTTTCTTTTTTTAGACAGAGTTTCTCTATGTAGCTCAGGCTGTCCTGGAACTCACTTTGTAGACCAGGATTCTAGCTCACAGAAATTTGCCTGCCTCTGCCTCTCACAGTATTTTCTTTTAATGACCCCTTAATATACACTCTACTAGCTAAGAAACAATTCCTAGACTCACAAATTACCACAGTTAATGCCACATGCTATCTATACCTGCATTTATGTAACTACATTTGAAAAGTTGGCTATACCTGGTTTTCTGTAAGTTGTACTTACAAGTCAGTACAAATGCAATTTTTTTTAAATGGTTAAACAATGTGTTACTTACCAAATTTTCTCTTTCAATCCTTTGCTGTTCCCTCTGTCTGTTGAGAGCACTATGATATAACTTAGGGGGATGGCCAATCGATCTTCCGGGAATTGTACTTTTGCTTCCTGGTTTTTCAGCCTGTCTTGACAGTTCTTTCAAAAGCCTCTGATTTTCACGATCAATCTGTCTCACCTCTTCTCTTGTGAAAGAGTAGTTTTTCCTAGGCATTACTGAAGGCTGATCAAAGTGATGTTTTTGTGGTCCCTTTTTATCTAATTGCAGAAAAGCTACAGAAGTAAACAAAAAAGTGAAAGTGCTAAACAAAGTAGCTATGATGGTACAGACTTTAATTCTTAAAAATATAAACTAAATTAATAGAAGGTATGAAATGAGCTAATGACTTATTTATGTAGGAAAAAAACTGGATGCAGCTTAGAGTTTTATGTTCCCTGAACCCTTTGGACATAAAAGGTCATGCAAATGGGGACTTATATCAGAATAATTGCATATATGTGATACTAGTTTTCAGGCAGCTAATTCACAACAACTATTCTTGCTTTGTCTGTTTTCCTACAGCAGCATTAATAACTAGGAACTTTAGGAACCTCTGGGTTGAGTGCACTGATACAAAACTTTACATACACTTTTTTGTTAAGGGGAGGGCATAACTCATCAGTAACAGCAGATGTTCCTAGTAATGACTGAGGGAAGCATTGGCAAAAATAAACTTAGTCTAGAATCTACAATTTAATCTGAAAGTATTACACCATGAAAGCCATGGGTTTCATATTGTTAATGTACTTCTGCTGTAAATGCCAAACATTCTATTTTTGTATTAAGCATAAGCCAAAATGAACATATTATATAAAAGATATTTCCTAGCCAAGGAAAAAAAAAATCGCACACTATGATTACCAAATGATTTTGTTGGGGTGATGGTGGGAATTGAAAGCAGGGTCTTGTCCATTCTAGGTGAGCATGGTAATACTGAGCTATGTCCTCTGCCTGAAAAGAATTGTAACAACATGCTTAAAAATTTTTTACCAAAATTTTCAGTAAGCATGACTATTACTATCCACTTGTGAAAAGTTTCTAAAACCAGCGAGCTTGGTGAATGTTTCTACTTCAGCATATTTTAAAGTAGTAATATACCTTATCAGGATAACAAGCATACTTTTGTTTTGGTTGTATGGTATTTTAACTATGTGTGTGCATGATCCCTGTTTGTCAGGGTGCATGCCATGTGTGTATTAGGCCAGAACCAACCTGGGCTAGGCTCTCTCCTTCTACCCTTATGCACATTCCAGGGACTGAACTCAGGTTATCAGCCTTGTGCAGCAAGTGCCCAAAAATGACTACTTGTCATTTCCGCAGCCCTTAAAACAATATTTTTTTAAAGTAATGTTTGTTGCTTCTTGACTACTTGCTATTCCTTTTTACATGTCTAGCATAGCATCTTATTCTATTGGACACATGATGTAAATGAAGAGGTACTTTAAACCCCATTTTACAATGAGTTTAATCCAGTCACTTGGGCAAATGACAAAAGCAGTAATTTTACTTCTTAATTTATACCAAAGACTACAAAGACTACTGAAGATCATAGGAACATAAAAACAAAACAGATAAACAGTAGCTTCCTCAAGAAAAACCAAGGTTGATAATTAGTTAATGTGGTAATTGAAACCCACACCAAGTAAATGACAAAACTTGAATGAGTACATGTTTTGAAAGCTTCATATAAACTGTAATTATTAATTTAGCTTTGTATGAAATTCTTTAGAATCCCATTCTGAAAGAAATTAAGCTACATTTCCTAATGATACTTTTTTAAAAGTAAAAAAATGCAACAGAAAAAAAAAGTTTCGCTCATTAAACAAACAACAACCTCCAATGGGCAGTATTCAAGCTTTCCTTCATTCAGCAGCAGGTATTACTATGACATGTTTAAAAAGTGACTCTATGTTATCAAATATATAATCCAATTCTCTCAAATGAAATCATTTAAAAATAAGTTTTAACATTATATATATATATATATATACACACAACTATCTAAACTTATATATTTACAAATAGTTTTCTCTGGAATTTTCCTTTGAGAAGCAATGTCACACAAATTCTTCACATCTACTTCAACCCATAACCATAAAGAGCCACTTCTGGCATCAGGTAACCCTATGTCAGAGTGCTGGCTTTACTTTCATTGCTACTGAGGGAGACACTTAAGACGTTGTCTCCAGTCCTCCAGTGTTAGTTCTTCTAAAAATCCTCCCAGTGGGAGGAGGTGAGTGCAAAGCTTGGGGTCTGACTCTAGCTTCTCACAGCATTGGGTGGGAATGCTGGCACAAATGTGCAGTGCAATCTGATTCTAGCACTGGGAGGTGGAAGCAGAAGAATCAGAAATTTAAGACTACTCTCAGCTACATAGTGAGTTTCAGGCTAGTCTGGAACACATGAACCCATCTCAAAATAATAAAATAAAAATGTTTTGTAGACAGTCATGATCTCTACAGAAAAACCTACTACAGTTATTTTATAAGGTTGATTTAAAAAAAAAAAGACTTCTTTTTAAAAGCCAACATTAATAAGTCATAAGAGCTATATTTACAAATTTCTTTTAAAAATGATTTATGTATTTTATATATATGAGTCAGATCCCATGACAGATGGTTGTGAGCCACATGTGGTTGTTGGGAATTAAACTTAGGACCTTTGGAAGAGCAGCTAGTGCTCTTATCTGCTGAGTCATCTCTTCAGCCCTACAAGATTTCTTATTTGCCTTCATAATTAAAAGCTTTTTAGATGAGAAATTTTGTGTTCCCTTCCAATGAATTTTTGTAGGCTTCTTACAGTTCTGACCAACAGAGTACTGTCAAAATGGTATGTGACTTAAATTTTAGTTTATTTTAGATATGAATTTTTAAAGATTCATTTTAATTTCTAAATTTTATGTGTATGGGTGTTATGCCTGGTGCCCTAGGAGGCCACAGGAGGGTGTCAGATTACCTGGGACTAGAGTCACGGATGGCTTTGAGCCGCCATATATGTGCTAGGAATCAAACCTATGTACAAGTGAAGAATAGTCAGCGTTCTTAGCCACTGAGTCATCTCTTTAGCCCCCAAGATTAATTTATTTCTATGTGTGTGTGTTTGCCACATGCATGCAAGTATCCATAAAATCCAGCAGAGATGTAACAGCCCCCAGAAGTGTAGTTACAGGAGTGAGCTCCTTGATAGTAGACCTGGGCCCAGTATGTGACTTTCAAGGCTAAGGGCTCTATGTACACACACATACACACCCTCTGATTGCAGAAATACTTGTGCCCAGAACTATACATGCCTGATAGTAACTTGAGGCTGCCATAAATAAGATCATTAAAAAGAAGCCACAGACAGGAACTTTCATCCTATCATTTAAATCATCTGAGGTTGCTGATTTATACAACTTGAGTTTTGTGATAATTTGTTATCAGAGCAATAGAAACTACTATAAAATTTAGTACAAAGAAATGGCATGCTACTATGACAAACCTAAAATTCATGGCTCTAGGTATGAAAGCTGATGGCAATTAAGGGCTGGAATAGCCCTTAATTCATAGGGGCTGCAAAGGCAGCTTAATGGTTCAGCACACTTGCCATTTTTGCATGATGGGTTTGGGTACCAGCTATGTAGGCTCACAACTATCTACATCCAGTTCCAGGGGATCCAATACCCTCTTCTGGCCTCTGAGATCAGCATGCACATATGCACATGTTGTACACACACACACACACACACACACACACACACACACACACACACACAAAATGAATCTAGAAAACGAAAGGGTGATTAAGTCTGAGAGGAAGAACTGGCCAATTATTTACAGCAGCATTGTTACAGGATCAAAGAAAATGGAAAAATTGCTACTGGTGGATTTGGGCTAAGATATTCAAGCAGGACACTGAAAATACGACAGCTTATGTTATCTATTTAGGAGATAAAAATATGACCTCAAACCAGTAACTGACCAGTTTTCAAAGAAAATATAGGGGAAATGTAAGAGACAGGATTTACAGGATTCAGAATAAAACAATTACTCCTCCCTTATCTCCCCCAACAGAAGACGTTCAAAGTCTTCAAGAGCTTACTCACTGCACCCCACCTGAGGAATCTTGCCTATACCTGGACCGTTGGGAAAGGGAGATGCATTTTGTATATGGCAGAAACAAATAGTAGTGAAGAGATTTTAAAGCTATTTCTATAATTGACATTTATCCTATTAAGAGGCAGGGTCTAGGTTGCTGACACGTCAGAAGGTCAGAGTACTTGTCTAGCATGCCTGAAAGCCTGGGTTTCATGGTTATCACCACTTAATACTTGGCATGATAGTGTATGCTCCTAATCCTAGCACTCAGCAGGGGGAGGTGAGAGAGATGACAGTTATAGCCAGAGTTACCTGAGACCCTGTCTTAAGAAAAAACAAACAAACAAAAATCAAAAAGGCAGGGTCCTTTAAAGTGCCCCACCACTTTAAATTTGGGAAGTGTATACCATTGCCACCAACACAAGAAATAGTGGTGCATTCCTGTAATACCAGCAACTGGGCAGCAGAGACAGGGGGATCACTGCAAGTTCAAAGCTGGCCTGGAACTATACAGCAAGTCTCAAGCCAGTTAAGTCTCATACCAAGTCCATATCTAAAAGAAACCAAATAAGCACAAAAGGATGCTTATGTGACTCTAGAAGTAACAAATGGCTGAGATTTCTGTATTATTTTCTGGATTGGAAACCTGAGTACCATGCAAGAAGTCTAAATACCCTGAGGCCACCATTCTTGAAGAAGCCAGGTCTTTGTGAGGAGACCAAGCTGTAGAGAGACTATGAGTGGACGCTCTGGCTAGCAGTCCCAACCTTCTGTTTGGTTCAAGGCCTGGTACTTGACATGTAGGTAAGCAATCACTCAGGCAATTCTGTCCCAAGGCACCGGCTCACTCCTACCTTTGAGTCTCTCAATTCTACAACTGGTAGGGTAATTTGTCCTGTAGCAACACTTACTGCTTATTTTACCCATTGGTTTTTTTTTTTTTTTTTTTTTTTTTTAAAGAACAGATGCATACCAGAGCCAGCACCTGTGAATCAAGTGCAGCCCCTCATGTATATAATGCTTTAAAAAAAAATTCTGGTTTTTGGTCTGATTTTTAATACTCCTTGGTAGCTTGGTCTTTATCAATTTATTGTCCAGTTCTGTTTTGCTTTCATTATGTAATTTGCTAATTTATATACACACACACACACACACACACACACATATATACACACACACGCGTCACTACATCAGTATTATACCTTTTCAGTGTACTTGGCTTATGTATTAATATAAAACACCCCTTTTTGTCCCCTTTGGAACTTTTCACAACTTGAAATCTTTTTTTATACTAATAATATTGATGCTTTTATTTCCTCTTTTTAAAGGAGACATATCTGACATTACATCTTTTTCAAATTTCTATTTTTGTTTTTCCTAATACTATTAAATACTTTTTTGGTTGGATTTTGTTAACTGGAATTTAATGAGTACCTATGTTGGCATAACAAAGTACCAAAAGAACTAGTGTTTTCCCTTTTTTTAACTGAAGAAAACAGACAGAATCCTAGATTTACCATCCTATTTTTAGATGTAATGTTCAATGATACTACAATTCATTCTCCATAACGATGTATGTTAGAAAACTAAAACTAAATCGTAAAAAGGCCAACCAATCAAAACAAACAAACAAACCCCCAAAACCCTCACCAGTCTCTCTGTCCTTCTTTTCCCAGAGCATAGGAATGACAATTTTATCTCCATGACTTTGGCTAGGACCCTTACATAAACAGAATCATACAAGAGTTGTCTCAGTGTGGGTACACATGTGTTTGTGTGTGTGTGTGTGTGTGTGTGTGTGTGTGTGTGTGTGTGTGTGTGTATCTGTGTGTGTGTAGGCTAAAGGTCAGTCTGGGGTCTCATTTACTAGGAGCTGTCCATATTGGTTTTTTGAGACATGATCTCTCGCTGAGACCTGGAGCTCATTGAGTAAGACTAGGTTGGCTGGCCAGTGAGCCCTAGGGAACCTTGTCTCTCTCTCTCTCTGCTGACTATACCAGCACATAGTACCATGCCTGCCTTCCTTAAATAGCTGGGAGCACTGGAAATTACACCCTTGCTCAGCAAGGGCTTTACTGAGCTATCATCCTCCAGGGTTTGTCTTTGAGGTTTATTTCACTTAGCACAATGTTCTCCAGCCTCATCCACACTGTAGCACAGACCAGATCATTCTTCCCTTTTAAGACTGAGTAATACTCCTGATTTCACTTAATACACCATGATGTCTTCTAAGTTACAGTCATTCACTTACATCTTTTGGCCCCTCTTCCTTCACCTTTATGAGGTTCACCAGCCCCCTCATTCCTTTTCCCTTTTTAAAAGAGTAAGGTAAAAAATTATTTTCTGAAAAATTTTCTTCAAACTTCATAATTTAACAACTACTACAATAATAAATTCTAGTTCTATTTTCTTAGTTCTTAAACTTTTGGTTTTGGGTCCTAAAGGTTGAGGCATCCAAATGTTTCCATAGGTTACATGTACAAATATTTAATATGTAAAAACCCAACAGTACAAACAAACAAATTTACCCATCCCTGTCAGTAACAATAACTAGTTACATGTCAACATAATATTTCTATTAAAGAAAAAAGTAAGGTCTATAAGATGGCACAAAGGGTAAAGGCCCTTGCTGCTGAGGCTGAAAAATTGAGTTTGATCTACAGGACTCCACAGTAGGAGGAGTAACTGACTCCCACAAATTTCCCTTCAACCCATGCACACATGCTCTGGCATATCAGTGCTCCTATACATACACATGCACTCAGATACACACACTAACCACGGAAGAAAAACGTGTAAGAGTGTAACACCTCTGTTCATTTTCAATGCCCAGCTGAACAGAAGACAGGTGTTTTTCACTGCTCCTTCTGCACTGTGTGCTGTCCCTGTCACATAGCCTCTTAAATATTCCACTGATTATACATAGCAGGCAGAGAACGTATAAAGCAAATCAAGGTTACTTTTATTAGTTACAGTAGCTTTGTCGTCACAAATCTCTCTGAAACCATTAGCCTTGCTTTAAAAAAAAAAAATCAATTTTCAGTATTAGATTTATCATTAATGATGTGGCCCTCTGTTGCCTTCAGCTTTTCTCAAATGCTTGGTAAGACTAGGTAATGTGTTAACAAAGGTGTTAACAAAGCCAACCTGACTGTAGAAGACATTAAACTGTGGTGCCAGGCAGGGCGTGCTGGTAGCTGATCGAATCAGAACAGGCCTCCTCTCTTATGCATAGTACTGGGATCTATAGAGAATTTTCCCTTAATCCCCTCCATAATATCCACACAAGACACCTTAGTAGAAAAAACTATAGCCAGTTTCTTCATTTATCAATGCTTCCTTAGTCTCAATTCTTCCTCATATTTTTCTTCTCAAAAGTAGAAATGAAATTAAGGCTTTACTTTGCCCTTTCAGTCCTTCAAAAATGATCCAATTTTATACATATGAAGTATAAAATGTATCTTTATTTAATCCAGTCCATTCAATTCCTTAAATGCTTTACCAAATGTATCAGACTCATGATATAATCTTGTACCAAAATGTGTTTACTGCTCCATTTTCTAAGCCCCTCAATGCCTAGTCAAGGATTTCTAACCCAAGTTTAAATATCTAATTCCAGTTAGTCTTTGGACATTGTGGGGAATGTTTGAATTTCCAAGTCAACCTTTGTATAGAGCTAAGAGGCTGAAATTGTATTAATCTTTCAAGGTCTGTAAAAATTGTTTCTAGGCTACATTGAACACCAGAACTCTCAGTCTAGATTGGACTATATCAAGTATATCAACTACCACATCCTAGAAATAGTTACTGTTTAGTTCATGGACATGCCAATAACACCAAAGCCTAGAGCTTTGTGTTTTAATTCCCAGAACCTCATCCATGACACTAAGTGCCCAGTTCATACAGTTTCACCATTCCACTGACTATATTGGGCTCTTTGCTTTTATATCCCTTCATTAATCTTTATATTTAGTAAGCAACAATCTTACAAACCACTATTTTACACTGTTTGCGACACGGCAATTCGTGACATTTTTAATTCGAAAGTTTTTCTCTTGAAAATGTTTACATTAGGAGGACATAGTGTGCTGAACTCCTGCCTCAGCTGTTTGCTGACAGGTTTGTGTTCTCCTAGAAGGTTTTACAACATATTACACATTAGCACAATCATCTTTCCCTACACTAAGTGGAGTTACCTTGCAAGACAACAAAGGCTGTGGAACCAGCCTTCTAGCCAGAGCAATCTAGAAAAGCCATCTGGTAAAATGTGAAAGTGCTAAAGTATATTGAGATGAATGCAGAAAAGCACAAGTGGGGATCAATTGTATCATAACCAAGGTTGAGGCATATAGGTGAAAATACAGAAAAGTTAGGAGGGTCTGAAAAGCTTCATGTTGTTAACTGAGCATGAATAATAATTTTGGAAAACTAAAGATGTATCTTATGCAATTGAATAAAGACTTCACTGGGGGGGGTCCAACAGTAGATATGCTAATTAGCAAAATGTTCCCTTTGTTCCTCTGCCTTTTTTACGAGCACTAGCTGGTTGTGGTGATGCACAACTTTAGGTCCAGCCCTCAGAATTCAGAAGAGGGTCACAAAAGTTCAAGGTCACCCTGGTATATGCAGACCCTGTCTCAACAACAAAAAGCCAGAAGAGTTTCTTCAGGTTTATTACAGCAGGCTTGCCACTGTACAGTGAATAAATGAAGCTTGCTTCTTTATTTAATTCTGAAATATTCCCACAGTATTTTAACTGTAACTGAGGAAAGTGTTCAGGAACTGGGGGGTAGTAATCCAAGTTCTCACTTTAAAAAAAAAAAAAAAGATATGTATGTATGTATGTATGTATGTATGTATGTATGTATGTTCTCAGCATCTAGCTTAGTTTTAGAAACAGTTCAGATGGCAACAAGGATACTTGTACCTTTTTTTTTTTTTTTTTAAGCTTCTTTGTTTTTACATGTATGGGTGTTTGCCCACAATGTATGTATATGCGCCACATATATGCAGTGCCCAACAAGGCCAGAAGAGGGTGTTGGATTCTCCTGGAACTGGTATGTGTGTGCTGGGAACTAAACCCAAGTCCTCTGGCAAGTGCTCTTAATCACTGAGACATCTCTCCGATTACTGTATGTGTTGTCACACACATCACAGTACACATGAAGGAAACAGAATGTTGATATGAGTAGAAATGTAATCAGTACTGGGCAGGGTTAAGAGTTTAGCTATTGGGGTTCTACTTTTATCATACCAGAACATGTATTTGAATGAGATTCCAGGGTGATCTATATGCACCCTAAAGTTTGAGGAAATGCAGTGAGCAAACCTAATTGCCCAATTTGCACCTATTTCTACCCTTCTTCCATAATAGATCCCAAGTATTCCAGCTCCCAAGCCCTAACTCCAGTAGGAGTGGGACTGGCTTCAGGTATCTCTCCCCTGGTCAAGGACTGGTTCAGGAATGAAGAGTGTAACTTCGTCAATCTGTGGAAAAGGGACTAAATGCACATTATCAGGAGATACTTCTTAAAAAGGTCCTTATACTCCAAGAGCTAGAGGAAGTGTTTCTCTGGGCATTGTGATGTCTGAAGGTCCTTACTGGTAGCCTTAAAGACAGAACTGCCTCACAAGAGTAGTAAGCATTTTGAGTTTGAGAGGAATTGAAAACTAGTCTGAAATTTCTATGCCTGATTGATCATCTTTGCAATTATCTGACAATTCAAATGGTATTCAAAGTGTTTCATGGTATAATGGAGTGTATCTGGCAAGTTATTAAAATGTCAATCATCTCAAAGACATTGACAGAAAACTCCATGCATATTTATAGCATATATTTTAGATATATATTAATCTTCAAATTTACATACAGAATTTTAAAACTTACCTTTCAACAGATGATTAAGGTCCATGGTGTCGTTTAAGACTTTTTGTTTGGATCTGTGATCTAGATTTCCATCTAACACTGATGATTTTGGAGCAAAATTCTGCCCATGCTTTTCTTTCCTTTTGGCCGATTTCAGAGATCTTAAATCATTTTTTAAAGTCTCTGCATCCTCATACACATCCCGGCTCACATTTTCTTGCCTTTTAACTTTTGCTTTCTGATCATGTGACGGGCCCGATTCAAATGACTGGACAGGGCTGACGTCTGGAGTTGACAAAGGAGTTACATCTGTCACAGTGTCTCCTGATTCCTCATTACAGTTAGCAGTTTTTTGTTTAGCACTCGAAGGCTGTACACCTACTGATTTCCTTCCTGATTTACACTTCTGTTTCGGTGATGAGAGGGCTACACTGGAAACATGTTTCCTTGATGATGGGCGTGAATCAGATTTATGGGTATCAGACCCTGTATCTGAACAGTCTGAACTTGATCTTGAAGATGAGGAAGACAAAGAAGAGGAAGAACTGACTTTGGAATACTTTTTATTTATGTTTTTTTTTAAGTTATTAGAGGGCTTAGCTGACTTGGCCCTCACATGGAATTTTTTTCCATCATCACTGCTTTCCTCTCCATCTGTGTAGTAATCATCCTCACCTTTTACAATTTTAGGAATTCTATTTGGAACAGGCAGGTGTAATTTATGTCCTTTTGAAGCATCACACGATTTTTTTGATCTTGAAGATGTGGTTGACAATGAAGAACTTCTTGTTTGTGTAGGATCATTTTCTACATGGTACTCCTTGGAGGAAACTTTTGCTTTCCTTTCATTTCCTTTCTGAGTGAGGTGATTTTCCTTTGTTTGTATTTCTAGTTTCAAGTTTACACTTTCAGGGTCATTATCTATTTTCTCTTTAAGGTCATCATTTTGTATTTCAAATTTCAAGTTTACATTTTTGGTGTCCTTATCTATTCTTTCCTTAAGGTCATTATTTTGCTTGTCAAAATCTAAATTACTGTCACATTTCTTTGCATCTTCAAAATCACTGTCAAAGAAAGAATGGTCAACTTCACCTTCTGATATATCTCCAAATCGATCCATGATGTCAAAAGTATATCTGAAAGGAGAAAAGTTCAACCATCAGGCAGGAGTAATTTCTAAATGTGTTTCATTTTTATTTTCCCCAAATGAGAAGTTTCGGTAGCGCAAAAAGAAAACTATGGGCTAGGCAATGGTAGTCCACGTTTTTAATCCCAGCACTTTGGAGTCAGAGGCAGGCAGATCCTATGAGTTCAAGGCCAGCCTGATCTATAGATCAAGTTCCAGGACAGCTAGGGCTGTTATACCCTCACCCCCAAAGAGAGAAAAAGAGAACTATTAAAAAAATAAAAGAAGTTTGTGAAGTCATTACAGAGTTTTAGGGGTATCAAGTTATACCAACAATCCCAGAAATCACAAACAAAAGAAAAAAAAAAAAAACAGAGAGAAAGAACAGAGAGTGAGAGAAAGAGATTACCAGGGAAGGCATATCACAAAAGCAGTACCTTAACCCAAAGGAAATCTCCCTTCTGTACAGTATTAATCAGTTTAAACTAGGAAAAGACAGGCTTTCATCCATTTGTTTTGTCACTATGGCAAAACACCACAACAAACTAACCCAAGGAACGATTTATTTTAGCTCATGATTTGGTCCTTCAAGGCAGCCAAGAAGCAGAGCAAAGATACAGGATAGGCCCTTCAGTGACACTACCAGGGTTCCATTCTTCAAATTCCATCACCAACCCAATGAATTCTTCATTAGGTTAAAGCCCTACTACTGAACTGTCCCTGGAAATCTCCTCATAGATACACTCAGATGAGCTTTGTTAATCCCTCCTAGGTATCTCTCAATCACATCAAACTACTAACCACAATTAATAACCATAGTTGCTATTAAAATTTCACAGCGTCAACTAAGGCATTTCAAGCACCTATTATTCTGGTGGTAATGATGCAGTATAAGTGAGCTTCAGCACTTTACTGCTTGCTGAGCACCCTATTCTGTCCTACTTCACACACTGAAGATGGAACACTGAAAGCAGTGACTGCTATTCAATTCTCCCCCACCCACTCCTGCTGACCAACAGAAACCCCAAGATACATAAACAGGCTGTATGGGTAGCTTCCAAATAAATTTCTAAATATTTAACAATTAATATTTAATCACAAGCCATGACATAATACAGGGAATATTACTACAAAGGAGTATACATGACTCACTACATTAAAGGGGATCTGGTAGCCATTTGTCTAAAATCAAAGAACAGCACATCATTTAGACACATGAAATTCAACATCAGAAGGTATGAACTATTTAAACTTCTAAATAGTTATAGTATGCAGTAAGGATGTTGTTTTGTTACTTAAATTACTTGACATATAGGTTTATGCATATAAACAATGATTTTAAAAGTTACATAAAGTATCTTACTACCCCAACCCAGTTAGAACTAAACTGAAGACATTACTATAAAGCTATAGCCTTTAGAAAGTATTTCTTTACTTCTGTTATCATAGTGACCTAAAAGCAGTATCACATTATTACTGATAATATTCAGTCTTTAGTTATGAATCCTACTCTCCTTTAAAAACAACCTCCCTCCTCCACACATCACCCCCCCCCCCAAAAAAAAAAGGGCTGGAGAGTTAGCTCAGTGGGTCAGAGCACTTACTGCTTTCAGAGGACCCAGATTCTCAGCACCACACGATGGCTGTAATTCAAGTTCAGGGAGATCAGCATCCCTTTCTGGCCTCCACTGACACTAGGCACACACATGGTGCACAGACATGCCTTCAGGCGCACCAACATGCCTTCAATCAAAACACAGAGTCACACACACACAAACAAAATAAACAGCAACAAAGCAATCAGAGTGTCCCTGGCAGATAATGTTATTGCTGGAAGCAAAGAAAACTCAGCATCTTATCGCAGCCTCTGACTCTTGCCAGAGAGCATAATCAGATATGCCTGTAGTAATAGTAATTAAACCAAGGAGCCAGTTTGCCCTTGTGAAAGAATACTTAACATAAGACAGCTTAAGGGAGGATAATGGAGGAATTATTTATTTTGGCTCATGGTCGATCACTGAAAGGATGTAGAGCAGAGCTGCATATCTCATGGTAGAGAGAAAGCAAAGAAAGAAATGGCTACAATGGTAGGCTCTCTGCTCCTGCATTCCATTGGGGGCAGTGCTTTAAGCCAGCCACATTCATGATTTCCCCTCTTTTAATCATCTCCAGAATGTCCTCACAATTATACAAGGTTTTCTGTTTGCTTGTTTGTTTTTTACTAATCTAGGCATTTATCAATCCAATCAAATTGATAATTAAGTCCAACCATGTCAAAATTTAAAAGGGCTGACACTGTACAAGTTCAAAAACAAAATATATACATGAATGCAAAATTCAGCAGGAACTCTAATAATAATATTCAAAATGGACAAATAAGTGTTATATTGAAAAGTAGGCACACAAACGTTTCCATTATTGATAAGGAGCCAACCAGGCAAGCACGTGCTTATTTTATTTAAATTATAATTAATTCCAGCACAGTAAATTGGGCACTAGAAGATTATGTAATGTATATCTACAGAAGCCAGGACACACTGAATAAATTTTTATTTACCATTACATGGCCCTACAGCCCAAGCAAAGACATGAATAAAAAACAGTATGGAAATAATTTAAAGAGTAGTAAAATTTCTATCATTAACTGTCTAAGTAAGTATGGGTATTCACACATTTTACCACAAGGGTAACTTTTTCTGTCTGTTTTGAAATATATATATATATATATATATATATCAGAAACCAATGCTGTTTTTTGCTTTCAGAGAGTCTCACTATGTAGCCTTGGTTGGTCTGGAACTTGCTATGTAGACCAGGCTGTCCTCAAACTCAGAGACTAGCCTACTTTGGCCTCAGGAAGCTGGGATTAAAGGCATGCACAACCACATTCAGCAAGACAAATTTTAATTCATTTACTTATTTACAATTTGCAGTGTTGAGGACTAAACTGAAGGTCTTGGACATGCTAGATAAGCTCTCTGCCACTGAGTTACACTTCCTTCCCTGAGTCTTATAAAATATTGACTGTAACCTATATTTAAATGCTTAAGGGAATCTGATTGTTAAATCTGTAGTTTTATAAGCAATGCCTGATTGTTTAGGATGATTCCCTTTGCTAGAATTATAAGTGTAATTTGTTAGGTATTTGAAATATTTAAACATGAAATATAAGTTAAATTATAATGATAAGCAGGTTCACAAATATCACATATAATGCCTAGGAAAATTTACTATTTTACAAGCTAAGAAAGATTAATAAAAGTACAAGTCAGTAAAAATGTAGCACAAGTCTACATTCAAAACAAGTACACAACATTGAGACGTATACTTTTTTATGATATAAAATGTATACTTCTATTAAAATTCAAGATGTTAACATAGATTAATGCCTTTTTTACAAATTAAAAATTCAAACTGTCAGAGGGGGGCTGGGAGTAGAGGTAGAGATCTTGATCCCTAGCAAAGAAAAAGATGGAATCCCCTCATATATCTAGAGTAGTTTTTAGCTGTCACATTTATCTATATAGATATCAAAGTCTATTCTCTCAAATTATTTATAAAACATCCCTCTTACTCCTTATCAAAACAATTAACAGCAAATACAGATTATATACATGTTATCTTTTTGGAATATCTCTTTCATCAGGACTCTGCAACACTCATAACTGTCCTCCTAAAAGGGTAAATTTTTATAAGGATAACTTTAACAAAGGAAGCATGGAATCTAGGGCAAAGGAATGGACACTTTTCCATTCACAATTAGATTTAAACTTACCAGTACAGAAATACCTACTGTTGCTTTAAACTAACTTTATGAATAGTAAGTTCTTGCAGCAGAAGTCAGGTGAAGTCCTAGTAAGTACTTTAAATAAATTTCAATAACATATTTAAATTCAAATTAGAGATTTAATGTCTTCTTTACTACAAATATGATGTCTATGAGCTGAAATATAGAGTTGTGTTCTAGAATCTATGTATAAGGAATAAGGATGTCAGCACCAGTGATACAAACAGGAGACCATCTAGAGTGTGTGTGTGTGCATGTGTGCTTGTAGGTACCAGTGGAATCCTGTAGACAGTATCAAGTTCCCTGGAGCTAGAGTTATAGGTTGCTATGGGAGGCACTGCAGTGGGTACTGGGAACCCAACATGGGCCTTCTCCAAGAGCAGTTCAGGCTACTAAGCACCGAGCCATCTCTCCAGCATCTGAAATGCTTTTAAAAAGTCATATGACATAAAAGAGCCATAAACTCTGAATCACAACTTCATTTGCAGACATTTACAACAATAAAAACATAAAAGGTAGAAATGGAAGTAATCACAGGCTTACTTCTAACAGATAAAAACTGCATACAGTAAAACTATCTCATTAAAATATTTAGACTACAGGCCAGCTATCAGGGCCAACTCTGGCCTGTTACGTTTATGCAGACACTTTTACTAGACAGTCATGGGTTTATGTATTTCCTCAGGTGGCTTTCACATTACAACCGTGAGACTCAACAGACTCAAAATATTTATAATTTACTTGCTAAGTTTGTAGAACTGACATAGTTTATATATAAATAAAAAATACATATATAGTTATCTGTACTAGAATAACATACATATTTAAATAATAAGTTGAGAAGAGATGAATTAAAAGTTGACTTGCTAGAAAAGATTCAACTGAATCTCCCCCCACCCCCAAGACAGGGCTTCTCTGTGTAACCGCCCTGGCTGTCCTGGAACTCACTCTGTAGACCAGGCTGGCCTTGAACTCACAGTCATGTGCCACCACTTGGCCACTGAAATTTTATCATATTAAGTGGGAACATGCTCAGTGTATGACAAAGGATAAACTAAGTCAGGCCTAAAACTTTCTTGTGGGTTATTTGTTCACACTGACCATCTAAGACTGCTAATAACCAAGGGACAGAGACTAGCTGACTGGAATTAGCCACAGGGACTTGGAGGTCCAGATTGAGAGGGACAAGGAGATATAAGAAAGGAATTCCAGTTAACTTCTGCACAGCCTTGGGAATGGCTACCATCTGGTGGTCATTCTTGTGTGTTAACTGGATAAACTAAGGCTGGTTTTTTGTATAGTAGTTTCTGCTCTAAATTCCTCTGTGGGAACAGCAACTGAAGTTGTCTTTTGGCCCTCTACACATATGCTGTCCTGTCTATTTAATTTCTAGGGTCCAACAGCAGAACCAGAAGTAACAGAAGGTTTGTCTAAAGCTTTGCCTACAGTAGTCTCCTCACGAGGCTGGCTAGAGCTGGTGTGTGCTTATAATGCCTGCTGCAGGTGAAGTGAATTAAGAGCAGCACTTGAGCTCTGGCACTAGAGCCCACTGGCTCTGAAAAATGGAGAGAAGAGGGGATGGGGTGAGGAGGAGGTATTACCATTCTTACCAGACTGGGAGATCCTGATGTCTTGTTCACCTTTACATCTCCAGAGTCTAAAAAAGATCTATAAAAATTAGGTAAACATTTAAAGAATGTTTAGTCCACAAAGGAGTGTGGAGACCTAAGACTCAGGCCAGGTTCTTGCTCTTTGCTTCCTATGCAACCCGAATCAAACCAACATGTTTTCAGCTTACTTTACGTGTTGATTTTCTTTTCTCCTCATGAGAGGTGGCCCACTTCCTAGTGCATATGAAATTTCCGAGGTGTCTACACTTAGAATTTGTACCGGGGAAGAATGTCTGCAAGCACCTAAGCAGGTGATTCACTTTAATTTCCAGGAAAACTTATCTGACAATCTCAGCCATTAGCAGTTTTGTTAAAATTTACTTCAGAGTTGGCTGCAATTCAATTTACACTGGGGAATAAGTAAGAAAAACCTGATGGTTTTTATAGGTTAAGTTTATCTTACAACACACCGGAAAAGGATAGAATCCAAAGACAGTTCTCGTCTGATCATAATGACCTTCTGGTGGGTCCAGACAGGCTTCTGTCAAAGCTACCTGGAAGTTACTCGGAAACTGCCCATGCAGAACTAGCAAGAGATATAAAAGTGCTTTCACAATACACCAGAAATAATACATAAATAACCTGGAATTTAAATTGTCATTTTGAACATTCGTGATCGTTCTTATCTGTCGATATATATATACCAGGGCCCCAAAATGGGTATACAGAAATCTTGGCCCAAACTGTACACCTGTTTTTCAGGAATTTGAGGGTTCGTCCACTACCCTACAAAGTACCGTCACCAGACTCTGGGTCGCAGCAGTTAAAAGCCTGTGGGGTTCGGGTTCAAGAACCCGGAGATGGGCAGCAATGACCACATCTGAAGTGGGCTCGCACCCCGCCTCCACGCCACCTCGTCCTGCGGGCCGGGCTACCGTTCCCACGGGGGAGAGCTAGTGGCGCCGCCCGCTGTTTTGTAGCGGTTATCACGCCGCCCGCGGGGCCGACAAGGCCGAGGTGGCGGAGGCAGGGTGCTGAGGAACGACGGCGACCTCCCGCGGAAGTTCATGGTACCCACCCCGGGTGCTCGCCTCCGTCGGGCTGCGAACCAACCGGGGAAACGGACCCCGAACACTGGGGAGGGAGGGTGGTCAGGCCGCTGAGGACCCACCGGATGCGGAAGCTGGGAGAGCCGCTCACCTGGGAATTTCGACCGCTACGGGCTCTGGCGCCGCGCGGGGCGTTCCGGTCCTCGCGTGCCCTGCGCAAGCGCAGCCACGCCTCCATCTCTCTCCCTCCTCCGAGCGCGAGGCCACCAAGCGAGAAGCGCGCGTGCGTGAGCGGCGGCGGGAGCTTCCGGGAACCGAGTGAGCGGAAGGGGAAAGGCGGGGTCTCTGGGGAAGCCAGTCTCTGCGGAAGAGCGGCTCGCCCGTGCTCCTGGCGTCGGTAGCTCTTGGAGAGCTTGGCGCAGACATCAGGCCCGCGCAGCAGGAGTGGCAGCTTCTCCACGGGGGCTCGCGAGGACTGGGAGGCGAGTGGGAAGGAGTCCAGCAAGGCCTCCCTGCTGCCCATGGCATCATCTGCTCGCGTACCCAAGACGCAGCGGTAGGTCTAGGCATAGGTCTAGGCATCTGGAATGATTTCCTGCAAAGAATCGCCGTGATCTTGTGCTTCTGTAACAAGACGACAATAATAAATATCGAGGGCGACTGAGTCTTCGTGGTATTTTATTTCAGCAAAGCTCTGTTCACACAAAACCAGTCGTGATGGCGCATGCCTTCAATCTCAGGAGCAGTGAGAGAGGGATCTCTTTGAGTTCAAGGCCAGCCTGGTCTGCCTAATGGCTTCCAGGCCAGCCAGGGCTATATATATCATAGTGAGACCGCCGTGTCAAATAAAAATAGCAGTTCAAGCAAAGTTAATGTGCACCAGGGACAGGTAACCTGTGAGAAGGCCCTTCTAATGATGGAGGCGCACGTTAAGCAATCTAAAGATCTCTACAGATGTAATTTCTTGAATCCCTGAACACAACGTTGGGGCAGGAATGGCCACCCCACTCCCAATCTCCATCCTCTAACCACCAGAGTACACAAATAGGTTACTACATATGGCACGGGGAAGTTAGCTGATGCAATCAAGTCTACATTATCCAGTAGCCCGTTGTGTAATCACTAGGGTCCTTACACAAGGAAGACACAGACTTCCAAGTAGTTAGTTGTAGGAGCTGTGACACAAGAGTTGACTTCTGACCCCCCCCCAACCCTAATCCAAATAAATCTGCGTTGTTTTCTACCTCTAATTTTGTGGTTAGAACTTGTTACAGCTCTCAGCATTTACATGAGAGTGCAAAGGAAGCAAACACTGACTTAGCCTTATATGCTAGGACTGCCAATGCGTTGTTTTGTCAGAGCTGTGAGAAAATACCTAACACAGTGAAGAAAAGATGTGTTCAGCTCACGTTTTGAGAGGGCTCAGTCCATCATGGCACTGTTGAGCAGTTTATGTAACTGTGAGGCTGGAGAATCTGCCCTACTGGAAGAGGGCAGGGCACCTGTAGTGACCTCTCTCCACCTAGGCCCCACCTCTTCTCTTTCACTGCCTGCTAATAATGCCAGCATATTATGAATCCATCAAGGATCACTCCATTGATGAGATCAGAGCCCACATGATGTCTCTGGAAATGCCCTCACAGACACGCCCAGAGGGTGAGCTTCCCTAGGTGTTTCTAATCTAATGTGTATATGATCACAATCGCAGCCATCACACACAAGAAAGAACTCTTACTTTGAAGAATGCATTTTATATTTTCTTGGTTCTGATTAGTAACAAAGAGGACCCCCCCCCCCATTTTGATGGCTAAAAGAAAGGATTTCACTGAATTTTACTTAGTGAACATACTTTGGCAGTGACTTCTGGGGTAGATATAAAGTATTTGAGTAGACATTTCTCCAAGGGAGATACAAATAGCCAACAGCACAGGAAAATGACAACTTCACTAAGTGTGATGGTTTGAATGAGAATGGCCTCTATAGGCTCATATATTTGAACACTTAGTCCCCAGTTGACGGAACTCTCCCAGAAGGATTAGGAGGTACAACCTTGGAGCTGTGTTTCTAGGGTGAGCTCTGAAGTTTCAAAAGACTTGTGCTATTTCCCAGTGTGCCTCTCTGTCTCTACTGAATCAAGAAGGGGGCTCTCATGGCTACAGCTGTGCCTCTGCTCTACCATTGTTTACTCCAGTCCCTCTGAAACTGGAAACCTAATTAAATATTTTATTAGTTGCCTTGGTCATGGTGTTTTGTCAGAGCAATAAAAAAGTAACTAAGGCACTGCATTAGGGAAATGCATATCAATATCAGTGAAGGCTTATGAAATCACCATGTCTGGTGCTTTCTAGATGATCAAAAGTACATCCTAGAACACAATAAAACATCCAGGGCCAGAGAAGTCATTTAACTGGTTAAAAAAAAAAAAAAAAAAAAAAAAAAAAAAATGTCCAAGGCAAAGGCAAACTTTACAGCCTGCATTTGATTCCCAGATTCCACACTGGAAGGAAAGAGCTGGCTCTTCAAAGTTGCTCTTTAACCTCTACAGCTTCAATATTACACATCTGTACCCACACATCAAATATACAAAACAAGATACATTTTAGTCCCACTAGGACAGTCATTAAAATACTTCTTGCAGGGCCTGGAGAGGTGGCCTCGGTGGTTAAGAGCACTGGCTGCTCTTCCAGAGGATCTGAGTTCAATTCCCAGCAACTACATGGTGGCTCACAACCATCCATAAGGAGATCTGGTGCCTTCTGGCATGCAGGCAGAACACTGTATACATAATAATAAATCTTTTTTAAAAAAATACCTCTTGTAAAAACTAAAATAGACAACAAGATGGCAGACTCAGAGAAATTGGAAAGTTTTGTACAGTGAATATGCAAAGCAGCAGGATTGGAGATTCTATAGTATTTCCTTGAAAATACTAATTAGAATTATATGATCTAGCAATTCCATGTCAGGATATATGCCCAAAAGAATTCAAAGCAGCATTTCAGATATTTGTACATCCAGATTCGTAACATTATTATTCACAACACTCAAAATATAGAGACAACCCAAGAGTTCCAGTCACAAAAAACAACAAAATCCTAATACATGCCACGTAAAGTTTAAAGATACTATGATAAATTAAATAAGCCAGTGAGAGAGGACAAAAACACAATCCCATTTCTATGATGCTTAGGATAGTCAAATCCATGAGAACAAAACAATGAGTGAAGGGTTTGTGGGGCAGAGGGAGTGGCAAGTTGTTTGATGGCAGAGTTTCCTTAGGGGCTAGCTGATAGAAAAAGTTTTGGATATGGATAGTAGTGACAGTTACACAGTATGAATGTACTTACTACTACATGGTGTGAACATGGTTATGATAGTGAACTCTGTGTATTTTACAATGAAAACATCTGGCTTCTGACTATGATTCTCTCGGAGATTGAAATTTTTAAGTATTGGCTCATTAGTTTGTCCTTCCAGCTGTTATAACAAATTCTGCAGAGTGAGTAGCTCCTCTGTTTTAGAGGAAGGAAAGTCAGAGGCCACAGTGCCCACAGATAAGGGCTCTAGTGAAATCTTGACTCCTGTTTCAGAGGTAGATTCTTTGTGTCCCCTCACTTGGTGTAAGAGTCAAGGCAGCTGTCTTGTCTTCTTGAGTCAGGGTTTCATGGAGTTCTGGCTGTCTTCAGACTCAAGGTGTGGCTGAGGATGGCCTTGAACTCCTGATCTTTCTCCTCTAATTCTGGGATTACAGGCTTGCCCTTCCCACACCTGGTTCATAGTTCCCTTAAAACATTTTTTAACCTTTAATTATATTTTATGTGTATGGGTGTTTTACATTGGTGCCTTGCCTAAGGAAGCCAGAAGAATGTATTGGATGCCCTGGGACTGGACTTACAGATGTTTATGGGCTGCCATGTAGGTACTGGAAATCTCAGCCTGGTCCTCTAGAAGAGCCACCAATCTATGGACACTGGGAATCAACTCTGGTCCTCTGGAAGAGCAGCCAGAACTCTCAACTAATTGGTCATTTCTCTACAGCCTTCTGCCCCCCCCCCACACACACTTTAATAGGTGATAATATCATCCATACAGGCCATGTAAATGCCATAACTTTCCTGTACTCACACCTTCTACTAGTCATTAGGCTTCAACATAAGAATT